TAACCATAGTAACGTCGAACACAGCTGAGCCCAGCCCATGGGCCCATACTACTAGTACTACTACTAGTACTAGTAGTAGCTATTATAAGAATTATAACCCAATACGTACTACAAAGTACAAGAAACTAACTCTCCTCCTCCATGCGCTCTAAAGCCGACCATTGCTACCCTCGGTAGCCATTGCTCACACCAATAACTTCAAACAACGAAGGGGTACGGGTCACGGGTAAAACATTTCCTTCTGACAGCTGTTTCGCCTATCAAAGGCTCGTCAGAGAAGGTGATACTGATATTGTAATTCACATGGCATACTGATTTTATACGGTGCAATTATTATGGGCGCAAGAAAGAAACTAGGCAAGGTGTAACACTGAGAAGTTCCAAGAATATTCTCAAAGCCCTTGGGAAGTTTTCTTGCGCCCATAATAATTACACCGACGTATAAACTCAGTATGCCATGTCAATTACAATATCAGTATCACCTTCTCTGACGAGCCTTTGATAGGCGAAACAGCTGTCAGAAGGAAATGTTTTACCCGTGACCCGTACCCCTTCGTTGTTTGAAGTTATTGGTGTGAGCAATGGCTACCGAGGGTAGCAATGGTCGGCTTTAGAGCGCATGGAGGAGGAGAGTTAGTTTCTTGCCGACTCTGAAAGGTACCGTTCCGAACAGTTTATTGATAACCCAATACTAGCTCATAAATATGGTGGTAAAGACACACCTGGCAATATGGCGGTAAACACACGCCTGCCCACACACGCTCTCTAGGCTGCAAAGTTCTGGCACAGAGCTCTCCTTCTTCTCACCACCACCACCATCAGTTCGCGCCTGGCGCCTAGTCGATGCATGGTTGGCGGTATCCGACATAGCAGGCTGGTACATCAAGTAGCGCATGGCACATAGAAGATGACACAGCAACCACATAGCTCGGTTGCGACGTACGTTTCGTCCCCGCTGGACTCATCAGGCAATCTTCTTCTCGGATGTCTTCATACGGAGCTTGACTCGGGAGAATGAAGTAAAGACACCACTGCAGCTGTACTTATGCCCAAGTTATGGCGTGTGTTTACCGCCATATTGCCAGGTGTGTCTTTACCACCAACATTTTATCAACCATAAGTACAGCTGCAGTGGTGTCTTCAACTATTACTTCATTCTCCCAATACATGTACATGACGGTACTAGTTCAAAACTAGTATTAGATAAATCTTGTTACAGTAGTAAGGTCACTGTTTCCGAACACAGTGTCCTCCACCTTGTTTCATGCCGTCATAGTCCATCGGCCAAATCTCAGAAAGGGCCTCTTTCGGCGAAGGTGATGCACTGAAGCTCCAACTAAACGCCCTTTGGCACACTAGCTCATGAGACCCCATAGAATACGAATCCGTTTGTTGGACGTTGCCAATCCAGTCCAGGATAGTCGAACTGGGTCGAATACCTTCTTCCGATTTTCGTAATTTCGTCCACCATTACATCTTTCTCATCGACTTTTTTTCGCTTGGCGAATGTTCTTGAGCCGCTGAGCAGAATCTACGCACGCTCGAACACTTGAAATGCCTGCATGTTGACGGTTCGCAAGATTCTAGCGAGCTTGGTGGAAATCTATTATTTATTTTGACATTTTTGGGGGAATCTGAATTAGAACAGTAGAAGCTCATTCGGAGAAGACGGCGTGTCGCCGCTGTCGGATTGTCGCTACTGTGTTTCAGATGTATTTGCTTGAACGTGCTATTGAGGATGGACAGAAGATGAAGTGACGGCTTTCTTGAACACGGACGTTGTGTCTACATTGTAGCTGAAACATCTCATCTGGCGTCTAGAACGCAATTATTATGAGTTGTGAGTGCCAGCTGAGCTGAACACAAGCTGGACACCATTCGTCAGCTGGGAATTTGCATCGAAGCTCTTGATAGCCACGATAAGCATAATTATACAGAGGTAACCTTGTTTGACTCAATACGCATGCAGGTGATACCACTAGTGGCACTACAATGTAAAAATGGTGCAAAATTGATGCAACAGCGAATATGTACTTCGTACAATCACGAACAATTGTAAGGCAAGTGTTCATGCCTGTCATAGAAGAATTTCAGCCCGGAAGTCTTGTTGTCATGGTCATAAATAATACAGGACTTGAGTTGGCTCTGGACATAAACACACTTGTGGTGAATACGGTCATTATTGCGAGAAAAATATTTAGCCACTGTATGTTAACTGATGCCGCACTACACGCAATATTTCATGTACATGTGTGTGAGACTCAATTGCATCCACAAGGCCGTAGATGCATGTAAGCACACAATGCTGTACAGTATAAGTAGTAGTCGACATGTGGTGTCTTCCTGCTGCACATGCACATGCGGCAAGTTGGCAACGACACATGACCTATCTGCACCGCACAGCGTGAGCTTAGAAAGGAATATTGCACACATAGTGCTATTTGTGTTCCGATATCGTTAAGCCGGTATACATGTACTAGTATCCTTATACATGTACCTGGTCACTCGATAGGCGATGCCGACTGTACTAATCTTATCCATATTACCCGATAGGCTATAGCACACTGCGTCAGATCACTATGCAACAAAACAAGAGCTTTGGAGCGAATATACACTGAAGCAAAGTAGGTTTCAACGGGACAGCACTAGTCACGATGAGGGGAGTTACGAGGATGGTGGTTAGACCGTGACACATAGATGATGATTGTTAATGATTCATGCACGGTGGAAAATTACCACCAATGGCGATCATATTGCTTTCACAACAATGACATCAGTAGGAGCAGTGACACAACCTTATTGCTCCAAGTAGGATTTACAAGCGAGTGAAGGGAGAGCAGACTGGTCTAATAGCAGACCGGGTCTAAGCAAGGAAGTAATCGGCATCAGAGGTGAGCTTGCACATCAGAAAACAGATGATGATCACCAAACACAGAGAAGTTGGCTATGTGTATGTTTGTGTCACTGTGTGTGCATGTGTGTGTGTGTGTGTGTATGCGCGCACATCTGTGTGTGAAAGAGAGGCAGACAGACAGATAGCATATGGTGGGAGGGATCAAGGTCTGACCTCAGAGTTAAATGCTGACGGTGTGGAATAGCAACAGTGCGAAATCGGGCAGGGTGGTTAATGGCCCACACTGGAGCCGAGTAGGAGCGCCAGTGGTTGAGGGCTAGCACAGGAGTAGCAGCAGCTCCAGCCTAGGAAGATCAGCTTCTGGATGAAAATCTCCCAGACACAGTAGGTACCAAGCTTCACTAGCAGATTGCCGGCAGGGGTGCACGGCGAGCACCCGTACATCCCTCAAGCCACCAGAGCCGCAGTACTTGGACACGATCCAGGTGCTTACCCGCCAACAATGCTGAGAAGGCACTGGAGCCATACAGGAACTTATGATCGAGCATGACCACAGACTTGAAATACAGGGTCCGGCGTTGAATACTGACACAGCGACGTCTCCTCCAAAGAACACCACTCAGCCCCACCATTGCATTATTTTCGCTTTTTCATGATTTTTACAATTGTGTTAGAGCACACAGCACTCGATGCAACATTTACCAGTGACTAAATAACTCCGCGTCTCCGACCATAACTGCAGCGTTCCCGTGAGCCTGTTGGATTTCTGTCAGCCTGTTGAGATTATCTTCATCTCGTCACATGTGAGCCTGTGTGTTTCATCCGTATCGTGGCACAATTACACAGACACGATTTCCAACTCAGGCCGGTTCCGTTGCTCGAAGGGTTGGCGGTAAGAATTGCTACGCCGTCTGTGGCTGCATGGGAACTTGGCGAGTCGTTGTCTTTCTCCATAAATCCTGATCGTCACGCGAACAACAGCCACTATTGCCTAAAAACTGCGACACAACAGTATCAAGCTCGCCCCAGCAGAAGGACACGAATGACGAGCACTAAGACGGAGAAAGAGAGACAGGGTTAGCGAGAGCTGACTAGTGCAGGTACGCTGTCACCTCCTGAGGTGGTGGGCGAAGCAGCGAATTGAAACGAAGGAAGATAGAACTTATTAGAAGGCATACGGAGGCACCAAAACCTATTGCCTGTCACATACTAAGTGCCATTTAGGGTTGACAGCTGTCAGCTGACAGCCTCAAAAATTTGAAAATCTGCTCAAAAAACTCTCGATCAGAACTCTGCGCACTCTCAAATGGAGCGCACAGTAAAAAACTCGGCGACGAAGAACGCTTCGTATCGACGCCCTGGACTGAATTCGGCACGTCCAACAAACGGAATAGTGTTCTCTGATATATTCTCTACGTGCTGGGTATGGTCGCGTTTAGTTGGAAGCTCAGTGCATCACCACTTTCGATTTTGAGACTTGGCCGATGGACTAGTCAATCTAACAATCATGTACCGGTAGTAGCTAGCATGCAGTGCAGAACATGCCGTGACATGAACACAGCCAACAAAATGCGGGAACCGTTATAATACAGTGTCAGTAGGCGAATATGAATTCAAGTAGTTGGTTTGTGTAAGTAGATTATCGTGTACGTTCCCGAGCAAACTCGAGCTGGCAGCAAAGAAACAGGATTACACAAAGGTCGTCAAAATTGGGTGAAAAAATGTTTCTCTGCCTTTACTCGAGTTTCATGCTGAAGTAATCAGCAAGAGACAGCGGCGTGACTAAGGATCATCGGTCAAATAGAACACAATACTAGTAGTATGCGCAATCAAGACTAACACTCTCTGCGCTAGGGCTTGGTTGGTTGGTTTATAGTAATATTTTTAGTTCGCACAATCAAACAGGATGGTGACCCAATAAAATGATGGCGAAGAGTTGGTCAAGAATCGCCTACGAAGTACATGTACATAGTAAGATGAAAGGCAAGTAACAAGTTGAGGTTCCAAAGAAGATTTGCTCATACCGTCACGCACACCTAGTACTAGTAACAATCAGAACGATAAGTCAGTACGATTCAATCGTGCTATCATTCTCGTTTCAAACACATACCGGCGGTAGGCGTAGGCACAGGGGGCACATTGCGAACACAGAATAGCACAATACAATCATGTACGTACATATCATGATCACATAGTAGCTGTAGTTTATTTATTTACGGATTCTCCAGAGGTAAATGGATACCTATCATGGGAGTCTCACCAAACCAATAAAATGATGAAAATAAAATTTATGTATGGAGTGCAAAAAACTCAAAATCCGAGATTTTTAAGTCAAACATGAAAATGACATGAACAGTTACTTGCCTTTAAAAACAGTGTACAAAACGTGACAGACAATATCACTTCACATTCTCAATCGTGACTCATATCTTTAAATTAATTCAGACTTGCCTATTGAGACGGTGAGAATAGGATGGTTATAAAGTTAGTCAAACTAAGTTGTGACAGCTCTAGACCGAGAGGTCGATGCATCTTGGAGAATAAATGTATAATTAAAGTCTCTCCATTATGGGTAGAGTCTGTACCTCTGATTATACTAATATAGGAATTGTGACCATTTCGTTCTGCTGCTACCATGGTTACAGCTAGTGGCAGATCGTAGAAGATATACATCATACATATCTCTCCTTGAAGTTGTGCCGCAGTGTATTGCTGAGGCAAGGAACTGAAATAAATCAAAATCAAAAACAACATGTCCACGGCGAGAACCGTGAGAAGCTGTTGATTGGATGCCGGGCCGGTCGAATTCGGTGGGACTCGTCAGATGGGTTCCACTGCAACGGTGTTCGTGGCGGGATGGTGGCTACCTGGTACTATGTGGGCCGAGTTACGTAGAGAGAGCATAATTTATTCTGTTGATTAGATACAGGACAGTGACATGCGTGGGACTCGTCCAATGATTTCCACGACACCGGCGGTGGTGGTGGAGGTGGTGGCCACCCGGTACTCTGTGGGCCGGGACGCGTGCCACCGCGCCTACACGCTGGTGTTTACGGGGCTGAGCGAGGCACCCGGGTGTGAGTACGGCTCCCGGTTACAAGCAGGCGGCACTTTGACGTGGTATCCGACCTTCAGACGTTCAGCTCGTCTGCACCCTCTCCCAAGAACGGCGGTGGACCGAGGTGAAGCGGGTCAGACATTGTGGACACGACGCTCTCGGTGTCAGTCTTTGTTACCATGGTTACGCGCTCTGGAGTACCGCCGCTGGCGAGCTCCACTTTGAATGCAGTCGGCGTGACGACCGAGCTGGTATTGCCGGGGTTGTTGCTACGTTGTTGCTGCCCGGCTGCACGTAGCTGTTCCAGGCTGGACTTGACGGTGGTGATGCAGGGTCGGCTGTGTGGCTCATGGCTCCAGCATGACTCCAGTAGCACACTGATTTGCTGCAACAACTACATAGACACACACACACACACACACACACACACGAGTACGTACCATGCACACACAAAGACTTAGACATAAAATGTATGCACCACACACATAGCACACGTAGCAGAGCTCAAAAGAGACAGAGAAAAGAGACAGAAGCGGAAAGGTTAGCATTTGCTGCCTTGTACGCAAACTGTTCTATTAATATTATTATCATTACACACATATACACAGACACAAAACAAGACACACACACACACACACACACACACACAACACAACATAATACACACCTTTGACCTTTAGACGCCCATCACCGGAGGCGATGATAGCAATGCTGCGGCAGAAGCCATAGCAACTTGTGCTGGGATTGCACCATTCAACAGCTTGCAAGGCTGAAGAATTGACCGTCACTATTCAGCCTGGTCTACACCATACAGCTATTTTGAAGTGACTTTTTCTGGCCAGTGAATCCCTATTTTTTCATTTTTTTTTCTTTTTCCCGCACACACATCACTCCACATACTCCGGCATGCACTGGCTGTTGGTAACCACCCAGGAGAATGAAAGAAAAGTCAGGAAGAGTTTGAGAAAGAGAAGAAAGACGTGTGTGACCATAAGCGTCAGGAATCGAACCCGCAACCTATCGATTCGAAATCGCTGCACATGTCACTGCACCATATGGGGCGCGCGCGCGCGCGCGCGCGCACGCACACACACACACACACACACACACACACGCACACGCACACACAAACACGCGAGCATACATACATTGAAAGTTCAGTACTGAAGTACTTTTAAGTATGTACGTACTGTCCAGATTATGATAGCATGTTAGTCCATTATGTGTAGGGGTTAAACGAGTGCTGTTATGTATCTTGTGACTGTGATTCGTGAGATCGCGAGTATTCCTTTCTTTCTGTCGCCTGGTTGTAAAGTAACGATGGGCTCTTCGGATGCTCCATCACTGTATTTGCATGCAGTGCAATATGGTAATCCGGTAAGTCTGTGCATGTGATGCCACTCCGTACAAAACGCTTTAGAAGATGACATCATTGCAAAGCCGATACAAACCAAGGTCATGAGTCGCTACAAAACTCATAATTATAGTGATGTGGTAAACCTGTGCTTGTGATGCCACTGCATACCGTAATCTCGCCCATTTAAGGACATGTTCTTATTTTCGAATATAAGAGCACTCTCGCTTATAAGAACATGCGCTTAAAAGTGAATGAAAATCACAAAACCACACAAGGATCATCACGGTTCCATTGTACCGGCATTCATCAATAATAGGGAGGTTTCGCTCTACGGAATTACGTATGAAAATAACGTTTGAACTGTACGGAATTTTCATACGTAAAAATCAGAGCTGTTGGGTTTCGCTCTACGTGATTTATCCACGACTGCTAAACACGCCTTGTTGCTTTGGAGACGCGTTGGCTGCATGCGCCCACCGCACGCACCATGAACCGAAACCGCGTTTTCTATTTTATTTTGCACGTGGTGTACGGTGTGTGTACCTTTTGTTTCGCGCGGCTTGAACGTTGCCATGGACAAATGCGGAAAATGCCAACAAGTATTTCAAAAAGTCCTACGGAGGACCCAACGTAGGAAAGAGCTTTCCTACGGAAATCCGCAGAGAGATTTACGTATGAAAGTTGCCCTCGCTCCCTGCTGTGCACGACATACGAATTTTCATACGTAATTACGTAGAGCGAAACCTCCCTAATATGTGTACTTGCACATGTACATGTCGATGCGATGTTTGTCTCTCGCATATAAAGACCATGGTCTTATAATCGAATGAAAATGCACTTGTGAAAGGACCAAACACAGCGACTTTTCGATTATATAACCATGGCCTTATACTAGTATGCGCAAGATTACGGTACAAAGCGTTTCGAAAGATGACATCATTGCAACGCCGCTATAAACGAAGGTCAGGAGCCACTACACCACTCACCTTATCTCTGCTCCAGCTTTTCGGCACCAGTGGTCGCAGTCTGCTGTCACACACGACTTCTTTGACCTCGTCCATAGTAGGGCTGCCGTGACTCAGCTTGTGCTGGTAAGGCAGGGAGTGTGCGGCATGCGGATTGCCTGCACGGACAGGAGCAGTAATGATGTACAGTCAACTTCGCTAATAACGACTGCGGATATAACGACAATCCGCGAATAACGACAGAATTTCCATGCCCAGAGAAAAGTCCCATCCAACTGTAATACATAATGATGAGACTTCGGGTATAACGCCACTTCGCGAATAAGGACACTTTTCTGATGCCCCGCCGAGTGTCGTTATAAGCAAAGTTGACTGTACATGTAGACGATACAGGCACAGGACCAGGAATGCAATACCTCTGTCAAACAAGTTTGGCGAGAAATCAGCGGTGCGGACTGCGTGCCAACACGAGTTAAGTGTACTTGGTCCGCATCAGCAATATTGTCGGTTATCTTTCGACAATTTTAACTTAGACTTTGGACATCACCACGTGCACTTGAGACGATGAAACTTGGTATGATGGAAGGTAAGGTACAGAATGACAACTGGCCATGAGGAATTTATTGTCCAAGGAAGGGTTCATACTTTTTTGGTTCTCGTCGTCGCTGCTCTCGGCGCTGGTGACAAATATTTTTGCTCGGGATCGACACTCTCGCTTTCGCAAGCTCATCTCTCTTCCTCTCCGATGCCTTGCTATGTTCTAAAGGGAAGTTGACCGTGACGATCACCTTCTCTTTAGGACTTCACGTGGGCAGCACGACTGCCTGTGTGGTTCAAATCAGTCGCCGTTCGTTGCAAGATTTATTTTGAACGAGGACGACGGCTACATACTTGCAAATCTCCACGATGCGCTGGATACTCCGAGCATTGAGCTGGAGGTGAGGGAACTGCGATCTCAGCTTGACGAGCGATCCCTGAGGCGAGCGATCTCGGCCGTTTTCAAAATGGAACTGACTCCGAGTAGCCGATTATTTTCTTGTGCTGCGCGCTGCTCTTGCCTGCGCAGTGTGACAAGATAATCTATGTTGATGCGGCGCTGTATCAATCAGAATCACCCACCCGTCGCTCCCTAAATCCACTCGAAATCTAGCTAGACCTTTCAGGTACTAGTGAACTAACTTACTAACCAAAATTGGGATGAAATGGGCTGCCAAGTGAGCATTGGCGAAATAAAAAAACAAAGCTGAAAGGTAAGCGACAATATTGCTGACGCGGACCATGTATGTATATGCACACACATACACACACGGACACTCGCGAATGTACATGTACATACACGCAAAACTCATGCATGTACACACAATGATCAAACACCTACACAGCGATACACGCTTTCTCTCTCACACACACGCACGCACACACACGCACGCACACACACACACACACACACACACACACACACACACACACACACACACACACACACACACACACACAAACAACATAACAAAAACTCACTGGCAGTAGGACAGGAGTTGGCAATCTCCCACAAGACCAAACCCAGGGAGTAAATATCCGCTTGCAAATAGGACTCCATGCTGCTACCGTCGGTACCACTCAGACATTCTGGAGACAGGTAGCGATTGGTTCCTTTTTGCTGCACACACGCACGCACGCACGCACGTACACACGCACACACACAAACACACAAACACACACACACACACACACACATGCAAGCACACACACACACACACACACACACACACACACACACACACACAAACACATCACTGTGGTGAATTACAGCGACACATACAGACATTGCAATTTCAAATTTGGACTTCACGGAGAATTTCAAAGTTTTTAGGAAATTAGAGGCCACATGCCACGTACTGCTCTTTTCTCTCCGAAACTCAACACTAGACATCTTGAGCCTTGAACATGCCCATTGCCGATGGCAATGACAGCGAAGGGAGAAGCTGTCAGCTTTGCAGTACGGAGCGTGGCGCTTGTGATCCCGGGACGACGGCAGACCTTTCCGCATGCGCAGCGGAAGCCAGACTCAGGATCAGGGGGAGCACGGACGGAAGAACGACGGTACATACAGACACACACACACACGTGCACCTGTCCTGTCCTGTAGAGCCACTGCCACAGGGGTCACGTGGGCCCCGGAGGGGCATCAGAGAGGAAGATGGAGCACGCAGCCTGATGACGCCGGAGATGGTGGGGCAAACCGAACCGGCGAGAACACACGCATACATGGCTGAACGAATTACGCTGCTGGGCAGTCGGGCGCGGGCCAGTCCTCGAGCACCGGTGACGACCGCGGCCTTGCACAGACCGAAAGCAGCGGGCACACACAGCACAGTGCGCAGCACAGCAGGCATCCTGCACATAGACTTGCCGGGGTGCACACACACACACACACACACACACACACACACACACACACACACACACACACACACACACACACATTTACGCAAACAGAATGGAACGAGAGCGCAGTGCAGTGCACCATATCGTACCTTAGCCAGGTGAGTTGGTCGGTGGATGTGCTCCGTGCCCGGGTCCATGAAGACGGCCAGACCGAAATCGGCAATACAACACGTGCCGTCTTTGCGTACGAGCACATTGGCCGACTTGATATCACAATGTGCGATGACCGGTTTGGCTGTGGTGACAATGTGCATCTGACCATCCTCAGCTCGGTTGCCATAGTTACCCCCACCAGCGGCGGCAATCGTCACTCGTCTGTCCATGTGCGTGGGACGTGAGCCTCGCAGGATGTTCGTGGCCGGCGAGCGAGAGTGCAGGTACTCGATACCGCTGATCAGGCTCTGCATCAGCTGGAACATGGTCTCGCGATGGCGCGGCTGAATCTCAGCTCTCTGGGTAGCATCGTTCCACTCTCCTTGATCGCCCCCCGGCCCTAGTAGAAGAGACATGTGAGAAACAATCCATGCACGTTTAGTGGTATGACGCTTCATGAGCCATATTTGGCAGCCCTACAAGTTCATAAATATGGATTAGAAAAGAGAGAGAGCACGAAAGCATCTCCCTCTTAATAGTCAAAGTTAAAGTCTCCTGGAACCTAACTAACGTAAAGTCTTGGCAGCAAACAAATCAAAGGAAAAGGACAAAATGTTCCGAGTTATGACAAACTGTCCACCAACATAACCAGACCTTATACAGTCAGCGAGTGCGACAAAATGGCACAAAACTGACAAGGGGTACGTACATTTTGTCCTTTACCTTTCTTCATCATAACTATATTGGCTCACCATCCGAGTTCAAATTAGCAAACAAATCACTGAAACTGGAGTGTTTCACCCACATTTACTGTGGGTGAACACTGTAGGTTGACAATACTACCGTGTCAACAGCAGCCACATATTAAAGCCAAGTACTCAGGTGGCCAGTGTAGGCTTCATCTTCAAGCTCTCTGCTGCACGTGACTGCGCTGCATGCACGCATGTGCATGCTTTACGTGTGTACATCACTGCGAATAACATTTCGGCCATTTCTTGATATCAACTTTGTATGTGAAAGCATAGGGAAGCAGCTAGCCGACATGGTCAATCATGCTCAGGTGACTTGATGGGCAACTAGTGTGCTAACCCCTCCCCCCCCCCCCCCCCACACCAGATAACGTTATGTTTGTGACAGCAGACAACACCAGTTGATTCATAAACCAGTGTCTCTGCACTAGGTAAGAAGCCAGCCAGAGAATAAAGCATGAAAGTCAGCTGAATTTCATATTGCTCTGGTATTCAAGTTCCGAAATGGCTTGTTTTACACATCGTCATCCAGCTGATGTCTGTACCCCCTCCCATGCACCCCCTCCCATGCATGCACACACACACACACACACACACACACACACACACACACACACACACACACACACACACACACAAAACACACACACACACGCACGCACGCACACAGCCAAGGCTACCTACCCGGAACGGAGTGCTTCTTGCTGTCGCCATTGCCAGCAAACGCAGACGTCCTGAGGTAGTCGAGCAGAGACCCACATGGGTAGTACTGGCTAACTAGCCAGTATTGGGTGGGAAGGAACTCATTGATACGGACGTCTGCACCGTACAGGTCAATGATGCTGCTGTGACACAGATTGAAGCTGGAGAGAAGGTCATGCTGCAACAAACAAAAGTCCAACAAAAGTCCCGTATCTTCCACAGTAGAAGCCGCACCCACTGTTAATTGGGAACTCGTGGACTGGCACGAGGGAAACATGGGTGCCGTGAATGTGATTTCAGTCTTTGACCACTTTGTGGTGGGTCGGTGCTACCCACCTCCCACCGCTTTAGGAGCTGCATATGGGACTTGATCCTAGAGCTACAGTGCATTTCAAAACTATAGACGCGTAGGGTTTTTGAAATATTTCAAATTTGGCTGGAACTTTTTGAGAATAGTTTTCGGAATATTGCTCAGGATCGCTCCACAATTACTCTCATATAGTTTCTAAAGGATTGGATAACCGACGCCCAATTTGGAAAAAATTATGCACAAAGTGATCACAGATTTTATGTGGTATAGATGCTGGCATAACGGTTTTTGCCTAGGTACGCGTCTATAGTTTTGAAATGGACTGTAGGGCAGTGGCGTTCCTGCGGATGCGGAAAACTCGGCTTCCAGCCGAGTCTCACGTGAAACAGGATTTTTTTAAGCCGCACCCAGATGTTTTTGGAGAAAAAGGAGAAGGACAAAAATGGTACGAGTTATGACTAACGTTTTTTTTATCCTTCTCCTCTTTATCCACAATTGAACATTGGCTCACCGTCCGAGTTCAACTCTGCACTCCAGATCTTTTTTTGTCACGAAATACAGACACATGCTCCGTACAATACAGTAAACTTAGACCATGGCAGTATAAGCCTCACCGACTTTTTTAGGTTAATTGTTGGTGTTTAAAGGGCGGCTTGTTCTCCGGAAATAACTACCGTACAATAGAATCTGCCCTAACCGGATGCCCTTGGTGCAGCAGAAACTGTCCTGACATGACAGGATTCCGCTTGATCCAGGGATGCACGTTCGATCCACAGCACTTTTTTCGTGCATGAAAATGTGTCCGTTCAATACGGGATTCCGCTCGGTGCACAGTCCAGCAAACACAGGTTTATTGTATCACAAACCACCGTACAGTACTGATGTACCACTGCATACACAGTACTGATGTACCACTGCATACACAGCACTGATGTACCACTGCATACACAGTAGATGCAAGGGTGTACAGTGAAACTGATCAGATGAGCACACGTACATGCAAACACATGTGTATACACACATGCATACACATGCGTGCGCGTACACACACACCCACACACACACACACATGCGCGTACACCAACACACACACACACACACACTGAGCACACACCTCCCAGTGGAAAGCACGTTCGTCGGTGAACTCCTTGACTGCAACTTGACGGTCTTGCCAGACGCCCCGATACACCTGAAGCAACACAAAACAAGATACACACACACACACACACACACAACACGCACACATGCGCACACACACACACACACACACACACATACACACACAAGGCACACCATATCATTTTCCTGATCACGTTGGTGTTTTCCAGACCAGCAGATAGCCAGGCATTTTTAACATTCCTTTGAAGGACAGGATGTTCCTGCTAGGCCGAGCTTCTGCATGTTTTTCACAGGAAGCCAGTTCCGACCCCAGCCATGCATTGTCACTTAGTTTGAACACAGCTCCGACCCCAGCCATGCATTGTCACTTAGTTTGAACACAGGTGATACACACCTGGCACAATGGAATCACTACTAACTAACTTTGCTTCCTCCCTCTCCCGTGACGAACCACTATTATAATTATTGAATGAAAACACACAACCACACCACAACCAACAGACACCGATTCGTTTCTGAAAGAAATGCTTTTCTCCAGAATTCACCAGTGACTTTTCCTGGTACATGACTGGAGAGAATGAAAGAAGCAGCTCATGGTAGCAGATCATAAAGCCACTACAGGTGACAGAAGCAGCAGTAAGGTGGGAGCCAGCACAAATGTTGCGAAGAACACCACGTGACCGAGCGAAACACACAGCACACCAGCATGGATACACACCCGGCAAAGAGAGTATCAAGGTGCCAGGAGTAGCAAGGTGCAGGAGTAGCAAGGTGCTAGGAATAGCAAGGTGCTAGGAATAGCAAGGTGCAGGAGTAGCAAGGTGCTAGGAATAGCAAGGTGCAGGAGTAGCAAGGTGCTAGGAATAGCAAGGTGCTAGGAATAGCAAGATGTGACTTGAACAAATACAGCGGGGTAGTGGTTTGCTTCTGCCAGTGCAGACGTTGGGCTGCTCAGGGTTCGAATATGGACAGATTCTAGCACCTTCAACTTCAAGTGATGATCAGAACGACCATGTAACACAATAAAAAACAATCATCTGAATGGACATCAACATATTCGGGATTTATAGACAAAAGGGTGGCAATGGCAAATAGGTACTTTTTATTGCCGTAGTTTCCAGAGTATACTGAGCCACACATTAAACACTAGTAATTAACCCAAGAAAAGAAATCATTGCGGCTTACACTACGATGGTCAATCAAACCGTGTTAAACAGGGTGGATGTCGGTATTTCGTGACTTATACTCGAGAAAATACGGCAGGTACTGAAGGTATCAGCTCATTTACCTCATCCACCAGAAATGGTCACTGATGAATTCGGGAGAAAAACCGTTTCCGTCAAAAAAGAATCGGTGCCTGTTTCTTCTGGATTGGTTGTATTTTTATCAATAATTGCCATGTCTCCGAGTAGACTTTTCACGGGTAATAACAATGGATATAAATGAGGAACACTACAGGTATTCTGAAAGAAGGAATTCGGGTGGACACACTCATTTCCATAGTGCTGCATATCTGAAACCAGTTCCGTTACTTCACAACTGAATTCCTTTCGGAGATGAAGCTGCAGGAAGCCTCAGCCCTTCTTCAGGCTACAGGTATCCATGGGCGTAATACCCTTACGTTGACTCACCTCTCTGACTGGGTCTGAGGGAAGGTTTAGCGCTCACTATCCCTTAGCATGTCCCAAAGGGGAAATCCCCGATTTTTCGGAAAGGATTATTTTTAGGCGCCTTGGTGTGGCTGTGGTGGTGATTGCGAGCCGCCGATAGTGTGAAGGTCTCGCCATCACAGAGACCACGTCAATGCTCAAATGACCGTCGCATACTATCGCAGGTCGTGTGTGCCTGTGAGGTGAGCATGTAGGGACCTCGATCGGGACAGCGTATTTTCAAAATAGCTGGTCCGGCTGTACATCTGAATATGGAGGAGGTGTGCATTTGGTCGCCCTGGTTTCGCACCATCTCCCTGGGTGCTATAGTGCACCGGCGTGGCGCTTAGATGGTCCAGGTTACAAGCAGTCTTGCTGACTTTGGCTTACACACACACAGCCCACTATTCACACCCAACCTACTAACAGAATTCACTATGCTCCACTCTCAAACAATCTTCACAACACTCTCCAAGCAGTCTCTGGAACACACCAATCAGTGAAAAAGGAATAAAAGTAAAAATCGTCCGAATTTCCGAGCAAGGCCCACCTTCAGGAATGTAGCCAACCTCACAGCTACGCAATAAACTAAATTTCACGGCTCGAGTGAGAGAGCCAGTCAGGCTGGTTTTGTGCATCCTTAGAACCCCATAGATACGTGTGAAGAGCGTTCAAAAAAATCATGGCGCGGCAAACCGCGGCATCCCACAGTATGCGAGCATCAAAGGCAGTGAATACAAGCCAAGAAATAGAAAATCTTTCAAATTCAACAAGAAAGAACGGTGAAAGGAAACACTTCACAGTGTTCTGCTCCAGCAAAGCATGCATGCGTCAGACATCAAACTGTCACGTGGAAACAGAACTAGGAAAGCATGCATGCGTCAGACATCAAACTGTCACGTGGAAACAGAACTAGGAAAGCGAGGCAGCAAGGGCGCTAACTCTAGCAATAATGCAATTGCGTCAGAATCGAACCAGAGGCCAATCCTGTTCGGAAACCCACAATGGATACTGAGAAACCACGGCATGGCACACACGAACCGATGTCCAAGAATGCAACGCAATACAGCTACTTCTTGAAGTAGAAACAACAAAGAGTTTAGCCATAGTCTTGATAGGAACTCGACGAAAATGAACTCAAGTATGGGTTTCAAACAGGATTATGCCATGTTCGAGCATGGTTCTTTTTTTCAGACTTCACAAACAGTATGCTCTTACCACCTTGCAATTATGGATAAGAAATTGGAAACGGAACAGATGAGAAAACTTTGTAAAACAAGCTACAAAGACGCAAAAATGAAACGCGATTAATTATGCGAGTGTTCACATGTGCGTGTGTGACTGGTAACTTCTCGTTGCTGGCTAAATGTGTAGTTTCCTTGTTGATAGCTTTGTTTTGATGAACGGCTCTGCTGATCTGCAGGACATTCGCATACTGCTTGATGAGCACCAGGTGACGCAGTTGCATGCCGCAGGGATTCGCGGGCATTACAGGGTCATCAGGTATTCCACGTACCCAGTCTCCCGTGTCCATCTGTCTGTCTGTGTCGGTGTCCATCCCGTGTCATGACTCATCTGCTGACGTAGCTCGGCGAATCCCCGGATCCGAAGGACGAATAATTCTCCGCACATTCTAGCCGGGAACATACAAGAAAGTCAAGGCCGAAGTCGAGAATGTGGTGAACGCGTGCCCACACATGCAGACGCTTCTCAAGAATGATAATTGCGAACACAACGTCAATGGCAGCTCGTTGTAGCAGAGACGATCTTGTCGAGTTGTCGATCCTACTGGATACGATTAAGCACTGATAACATGACAAGCGGACCTGCTCAGGAGCAAAGGCTGAGTGCGTTTGGGAAATACTATTGCGCAGTGCACCCACAGGTCTACCCTCGTTAGTTACGACATCGGCCACAAGACAAACTTCATTAGTAGACAACAATCAAGAATCCCACCTGACGCCTGAAACGCGTACATTCAAATCCGGATAGTAGATAATACTCGGTATAAGACAAAGAACTTGAAACCGCCGGGGTTATCTACTAACGAGGGTAGACATTGAGAAGAAGAAGTAGCGACGACCCGGCCATTATGGAATCCAATACACCACACCACCAAATTGCACTCTTGGCCGATCCAAACTCTGCACTCACATCACCACCACCACAGCGAGGACAATTCCGGTATATCGATTGATATTGACAATGACCCTCCAGACAGCTGTTTGGCTCCTCCTGAGCTCATCAGGGCGAATGCAGAGTTTGGATCGGCCAAGAGCGCAATGTGCTGGTGTGCTGTCTTGATGGTAGACATGTATCTATTCTTTTTCAAATGCAATAAGAAAACAGTGCTCTGAATGCTGACCTGCACACTGAAGCACCCACACATCTTTTACAATGATCACAGCTCACAGGCAAAGACAAAAAAAATTGCATAGTGGGAGCATAGTGATGGTGAGGCTTTTTGCCCTCAGCCGACATCTACCCATCTACACCCCTCTCCCCCCCCCCCCCCCCCCACACACACACTCCCTACCACCTACCCTTAACTCCTGCACCCACACCTCTAACCCACTTTCCTATCCCCCCTCCCCTTCGCGTTACCCCCTTCCCTACCCCTCAGAGTCCTTTTCGCCCTACCACCTACTCACTACCTCCTGCCCCCTACCCCCCCCCCCCCAACCAGAAAAAGAACATGTCATTTAAACATGGTGAAATCCTTACATTTCCGTAGCCTCCCGAGCCCAGCGGTTTGGTCCGGTCTAACTCAATCATGTCAGCCAGGCTGCGAGCAACCATACGGGTATTACCGCCTCTGCCACTTGATAGACCAGCACTAGAACCCGTCTCAACAACATCCACTTTCTTGCCTGTGAAGGGACACGCAAACACGAACATATACGCACATGCACAGGCGTTAACACAAACACAGCAGACACACACACACACAGCAGACACAGAATGTGTTTGCTCTGAATAAGAATTAGGTGGGTAGGTAGGTAGGTAGGTAGGTGAGTGGGTGGGTGGGTGAGTGGGTGTGTAGATTGGTTGGTAGGTGGGTATAAAAAAGTTCCTAAAAATGTCTAGTTTGACCGTAGAACAAACGGGTGAATCTACCTTGCTGTTCGTGTCCCCAACAGAATCACAACTCATATACTGCAAATCCAAGCGTATAGCAGAGGAATGCATGGCAGGCAACTGAGAAGCAGGAAAAGCACAGTGTCCATATGAAATCCGCTCGCCGCAGTGGAGTCAAGTTTGACCCTGGACGTCATTGGATAACCACTGTGCTCCTACATGGTAAGGCTAGTATTCCAGGTTGATCACTGCCCACTCCTCGGCCCCCTCCCTGTGTCCCTTCACTACCTCCCTGCCCCCCCCCCCCTTGCGTCCCCTCCCTCCCTGTCTGCCCCCCCCCACATCCCTTTCCTCCCTGTCTCACCCCCCCCCCCCCCCGGTTTCCCAGCCTGTTTCATTCGGAAAAGAAATCCTGGACGCCGACATGACAAGCACAGCGTCTTACCTGTACCAGGTGAGACGCCATTTCCCTTGGCTGGCCGGAAACTCTTTCTGCAGATTGCCAGCACGACCAGCAGAAGTATGACAACGATGAGAGCCAGAGGAGCAATAGTTGCAACGGCGAACGTGGTCAGCGGGTTTGGCAACGGTCCCGAGATGGTGCCTGCGGTGGTCGGGAACGCGGTGGACGGAAACACGGTGGACGGGAGTGGTGTTGTTGTTGTTGGGAGTGGTTTTGTTGTTGGGAGTGGCGTTGTTGTTGGGAGTGGTGTTGTTGTTGTTGTTGTTGTTGTTGTTGTTGTTGTTGGGAGTGGTGTTGTTGTTGGGAGTGGTGTTGTTGTTGGGAGTGTTGATGTTGTTGGGAGTGCAGTTGTGTTCTGGAATGCTGTTGTGTTTCGGAGTGCTGTTGTGTTCTGGAATGCTGTTGTGTTCCGCAGTGCTGTGTTCGTGGACGCTGTGGGGTTCACAGTGCTATTTGTCGGAACGGGAGGAACGGGCCAGGCAATGTCCGGGTTAAAGTAGTACCGATCGGACGGAGCCTGGAACGGCAAGAGGCCCGAAGGAAAGGGCTTGTCAGTGAGTAAAGCTGCAGTAGGATACAAGAAGACAAATCGGAGGACAAAAAATAAATATCTCAATAAAGAGACCCTTTTGGAGTTTGGACTTAAAAGAAGGGAAGTTTCCTGAAAAAATTCACCAGTTGTAGTCTTCGGGGTGCCGAGTCGAATGGTCTTGGTCCGAGGAAGCTGAAACGCTCCCTTCCTCCTTTATTCCCAATTGAACTCGCGCACTTCCACTGAAACTGGGTGACTGCGCCCTACTAGATGGGGATTCGTATGTAAAATGGCCCTAACAGCGCCATTTCATTCTTATAATTATGTTGTAGTCTTTTGTACGCTGAGTCGACTAATTTTGGTCCGAAAAAGCTGCGATGCAGCGTTCGGCCCGTATTCCCAATCGAAAATAGCTGAATAAGCGATCACGTTCTCATGCGTGCACAAGTCACCTGGACACCGTGCCTGCAGGGTACAAAGTTACAGCCTGTTTGGGCGAGTTTCTGTCACTCAAGTTGAACTCCATTCGAACCGTGGTGTGAAAGTTGTAGGTCGTTGCTATGAAGGACAGTCTGTTGCTATGAGGGACAGTCTGTTGCTATGAGGGACAGTCTGTTGCTATGAGGGACAGTCTGTTGCTATGAGGGACAGTCTGTTCCTATGAGTAACTGGCCAGAAGCATGAATGAGGAGAGCCTGCCCAAAATGACATTTTCGCCACATAGAGACTACCTGAATATAAAATAATTCATCAACACTTTAGCACTTTTAGTCTTTGGCCTACCGATTTGGATCATACTGATGCGAGTAGGCTATACCACCCATGTTCGTTATGATTATACTCCCAGACTAACTGTGAACTTTTCTCTCTCACACATTTCTCTGTCTCTGTCTGTCTGTCTGTCTGTCTGTCTGTCTGTCTGTCTGTCTGTCTGTCTGTCTGTCTGTCTCTCTCTCTTGTTCTCTTTCTCTCTCTCTCCCTCATTCATTCATTCTCTCTCTCTCTCTCTCTCTCTCTCTCTCTCTCTCTCTCTCTCTCTCTCTCTCTCGCTCTCCCTCTCCCTCTCCCCCTCCCTCTCCCTCTCCCTCTCCCTCTCCCTCTCCCTCTCCCTCTCCCTCTCCTCTCCCTCTCCCTCTCCCTCTCCCTCTCCCTCTCTCTCCCTCTCCCTCTCTCTCCCTCTCTCTCCCTCTCTCTCCCTCTCTCTCCCTCTCTCTCCCTCTCTCTCCCTCTCTCTCCCTCTCTCTCTCTCTCTCTCTCTCTCTCTCTCTCTCTCTCTCTCTCTCTCTCTCTCTCTCTCTCTCTCTCTCTCTCTCTCTCTCTCTCTCTCTCTCTCTCTCTCTCTCTCTCTCTCTCTCTCTCTCTCTCTCTCTCTCTCTCTCTCTCTCTCTCTCTCTCTCTCTCTCTGTCTCTCTGTCTCTCTGTCTCTCTGTCTCTCTGTCTCTCTCTCTCTCTCTCTCTCTCTGTCTCTCTCTCTCTGTCTCTCTCTCTCTCTCTCTCTCTCTCTCTCTCTCTCTCTCTCTCTCTCTCTCTCTCTCTCTCTCTCTCTCTCTCTCTCTCTCTCTCTCTCTCTCTCTCTCTCTCTCTCTCTCTCTCTCTCTCTCTCTCTCTCTCTCTCTCTCTCTCTCTCTCTCTCTCTCTCTCTCTCTCTCTCTCTCTCTCTCTCTCTCTCTCTCTCTCTCTCTCTCTCTCTCTCTCTCTCTCAGGAAAAACTTATATCAAGCTGTAGGAGGGCTAGAGCATGCCTGTTTTGTTTCTATTCTGTGTGTGTGTGTGTGTGCGTGTGTATGTGTGTGTGTGTGTGTGTGTGTGCGTGTATGTGCATGTGTGTGTGTGTGTGTGTGTGTATGTGTGTGTGTGTGTGTGTGTGTGTGTGTGTGTGTGTGTGTGTGTGTGTGCATGGGTGTGCATGTGTATGTGTGCGTGTGTGTGTGTGTGTGTGTGCGCGCATGTGTGTGCATGTGTGTGCATGTGTGTGTACACGTGTGTATATTGTACTCAATCTGCGGACAGAGCTATTATTTTCGTCCTTTGTGGACTCAGCTCAGCACAGAGATGTGTGTGTGTGTGTGTGTGTGTGCGTACGTGCGTGCATGCTTATGTGTGTGTGTACAAGTTTGAGAGTGATGGCTTGCCCACACGCACACACACGCACACACACACACACACACGTGTACACATCTGAACGCATCTGTTCTAGAGGAGCTACTCACCAAAATGATGATCTGCACAGCCATTTGTACAACAACAGAAGATGATTGGATCGCCTCCAGGGTTGTATTTATAAGCTAGACTACACTGTTTATTCTCTCCGAAAAAAGAAACAAAGCCGGTGCAGCCGAATGAGATACTCCCGTTGATATTTCTGAGACCAATCACAGAGCAAAACACCCGAAATGTCCAGTATCAGAACTATTTTAGCTAATCAAATTTCAGAATTATCAGTGGGCACTGGGTTTGAAAGCCAAGAACACTGTCATCAAACCTTGGCTGTGCGTATCCGACTGAATGGGCTGAGAACCAGCGGACCTTCTCAGTTTTGTTTTACCAACTTGCCGAATGCCGAATATTTGTGTGCGTGGGATTGGGGTGTATGTGTGTGTGTGTGTGTGTGTGTGTGTGTGTGTGTGTGTGTGTGTGTGTCGCATTAAAGCGCAGCGTTTATGCTCATTAACAGCTAGCATCATTGCAGCTCACCGCCGCGGGTACGTGCAGCCCCATGTCCTCGAATGCACATGGTGCCGCACAACTGCCCCATGCCCTTCCATGCGCATGGTGCTGCACAACTGTCCCCGCCGCCCTTTGTCCTTGCAGGCGCGTGGGGCCGCACACCTACCTCTGCCGCCCCATGTCCTTGCGGGCGCATGGCGCCGCACAACTGTCTCTGCTGCCCTGTGTTCTCGCGCAGGCATGGTGCCGCACAACTGTTAGTGTTGCCACTCACATTTACCCCAGGGCACACAACGTGCCCATGACGTCAGCAACCATACTGATGTCCGGTTACCATGACGCAAAAATGGCGACCCATTTTTCTTGCTCCCTTGCTGACAATCTCTTCTCAAGAATTGTTCATGGTGGTGACTGGTTGTCAGTTTATTTGTTTCTCGTTCCCACCCTCCCACTCCCATATTTATCCTCACATGCCTACTTTTATAAAGTTAACCCCAATAAACGGTGCCCGGCGGCTCTCCATTTCTCCATTGAATGCATCAGTGGGCTCTTGGCTCTTGCCAACCCTGCTATTACTTGCCCCCCGGGCAAATGCAATTCAATTTCGCCGGCCGCGCACCATCCACCCAAGCAATGTGTGTTTTTGTTAATGTGTGTGTGTGTGTGTGTGCGTGCGTGCGTGCGTGCATGGGTGCGTGCGTGCGTGTGTGCGTGGGTGGCTGCCCAAGGAGGCAGTTTGGATTTTTCTGCTCCTGACTTTTTCTTGTTTTTCGAGTACTTTTTGGCGAAAGAGAGGCCTGGAGCGACCCCTTGAGTTGAGGGTTGTCTCCAGGGCCAGTAACGTAGACAGTGAGCTGCCGACGACGGGAGCCACGTAGCAGGAGGACGAGGCGAGTTGTTTTTATACCGCCACCTCTTGCTGCGCCCGAAGTCGCCGCTCTCGGTGGTGTGACGAGCCCCAGAGTGGAATATCTCCATCCAGCTCCGAAAAGCTATGAAGTACGTCAAGAAGAGGGAGAAGAGTGGGAGAGAGGGACGGCGCTGCTTGATGTTGGGGTCGTGGAATGTGCGCTTCCTTGTGGAGAGGAGTGGTGGCGTAGCTACGGCGAGCGTTTCTGGCCGCGTAACAGAAGACAAGAAATGTCGTTGCGTTGCTGCCGAGCTGCACAGGCTAAACGTGGCGGCGACTGGATTGCAGGAGACACATTGGTTCGGCGCTGACATCTATGTCGTTGACGGTTTCACTATCTTGTGTTCGGGTCGCCCCGTGCCTGGCGATGGAGCTCCGAGCAACAGACGAGGAGAAGGAGTCACCCCGGCACTCAATAAATTTGCAACCGACGCGTGGAAGAATGGTGGTTCGGTCTGGCGGGCTGTGGGCCCTCGTCTTGTCACTGCTCGTCTCAAATTCGCGTGGGGGAGAATTCGCATGGGTGACGGTAGTCAGTGCGTATGCTCTGACTTATGCAGCTCCGCATGCCAGCAAAAATCAGCTTTACAAACAGTTGCAGGAGGTAATAGCTGGCGTTCCTGACAGGGACTGCTGTATTCTGCTTGGAGACTTCAACGCCCGTGTGGGTTCAGGAACAGCTGACGATGACTGGAGTGGTGTGCGCGGCTTACATGGTTTTGGCCAGTTGAATTCCTCTGGAGATGAGCTACTGTCGTTTGCAGCAATAAATAACTTGTGGATCTGCAACACCTGGTTCCCCAAGCGGGATATCTTCAAGCGGACGTGGCAGCACCCCGGCTCTCTGCAGTGGCACTGCATCGACTATATCTTGATGCGTCAGGATCATCGGCGATTTTGCAGAGACGTGCGCGTTGTTCGCGGTGCTGAGTGTGGCAGTGACCACCAGCTGCTTTGTACAGTCTTTGAGTTCCCGGATCGCCTGGTGGGGGTTGCCCGACGTGGAGCGAGTCGGGGGCGCCGATTTAATGTCGGCAAGCTGCGGAGTAAGGCGGTGGCCGAGCATGGTCAATCAGATTCCTGCACATCTGCCTTACAAGACGTCAACGATGTGGGACATCCCCCCCCCCCCCCCCCGCGCTGCGTGACCACCGCGGACAAGTATCGCGCCGCTTTATCTGCTGGATTGCGAGATTGTTGGAGCAGTCATGGTAGCGTTGGGAAGAAGTGGACCCATGTACGCAATACGGTGGTTGCCGCAGTCACTGATGTATTGGGCCCGAGCGAACGCCGTCAGGCCGACTGGTAAGATGACAACTCTGCAGTCATACAGCCCCTGCTGCGCGCCCGCAATGAGTGCTACGCGGAGTGGCTTGCCCACGGTCAGCGGAGGGGCGACACGTATTGGGCCAGCTTCGGGGCTGCTCGATCGCAGGCGCGCGCAGCTGTTGTAAATGCCAAAGAGGCTTGGATTTTGAGTAAGGCACAGGAGGCGACAGAGGCGCGCTTCAACGGGGCAGTCGTCTGGAAATGCGTTCGTGCTATCCACGCTGTATGTGAGGGATTAACTCTGTGCAAGGCTTCCGCCATTAAGGACGAGAATGGAAACCTGTGCCAGTCGACTGAGGGTCAATGCAAGCGGTTCCAGAGGCATTTAACATCTGTCTTGAACCCAGAGAGCTCGTACAACCCCGATATCGCGGCTTGCGTTGAGCAGCGACCTGTAGTGTCGAGCCTTGAGGAACCACCAACCATGCATGAGATCTCCAAGGCCATTTCTCGACTTCGCAATGGCACCGCTGCTGGTTTATCGAGGATACAGCCAGAGTTGCTAAAGTTCGGTGGCGAGGAGCTCAACAACAAGCTCATGGAGCTGTTTGGGGATGTGTGGCGAGATGGCTGCGTTCCACGGGAGTGGGCGGATGCTACCCTCATCCCCATTCCAAAGAAGGGAGATTTGTCGCAGTGCGACAATTGGCGGGGCATTGCGTTGCTGGATGTGGTCGGCAAGGTCTTGGCGAGTATCCTTCAGAGAAGGCTGCAAGTATTCGCAGACGAATTTCTCCCCAAGTCCCAGTGCGGGTTCCGGCGAGGGCGTGTCTGCTCTGACATGATCTTCACCGTCCAACAGCTCATGGAAAAGTCAATCGAACATCAGGCCAACGGTTTTTTTGTGTTTATCGACCTGAAGAAGGCCTATGATTCAGTGCCCAGGGGGTGTCTGTGGCAGGTCCTCGGCCGTGCGGGAGTACCAGAAAAGCTTATCAACATCACCCGGTCGTTCCACGACCCCATGTCAGCATCGGTGCGGTTCAACAACATATTATCAGACCCGTTCAGCATTGGCAATGGTCTTCGCCAGGGGTACTCTATGGCGCCGGTCCTTTTTAATATTGTTATGGGGGCCGTGATGACCCAATGGCAACACCGCATCAGGAGAGTTGACGGGATTGGCTTCGAGCTCCGCTCAGCATACAGCAGCGATCTATACCGTAAACCCCGCCGTGACGACCAACACCATTGCCTAACAGATTCCCAGTTTGCTGACGACTCTTGCCTATTCGCTACGACTCGGTCTGGAGCGGGGGCAGCATTGTGCTGTCTTCACGAGGTGGCGTCGGGATTCGGCTTGACCGCCAGTGCAACGAAGACTCAGTTTGTAGTTGTTGGCCCCAACATCACGCCTACTGACCGCGCTCCCCTCCAACTTGGTCAAGCGGAGGTGGAATGCGTACCGCAATTCAAGTACCTCGGTTTTGTAGTGGACAACGGTTGCCGTTCGTCCCCGGACATCGCCGCAAGGATTGCCCAAGCCTCCGGGGCCTGCAGTGCTCTTCGGAAGTCTGTATTCTCCAATCCACATCTGCTGACGCACACCAAGCGGTGCGTATTCAATGCTTGCGTTCTGTCCCTGCTGTTGTATGGCTCTGAGTGCTGGACGCCCCTTCAACATGACCTGCAGAAGCTCTCAACCTTCAGCATGAGGTGCATCCGATCCATCCTCGGGGTCTCTCGAAGCCGGATGTGGGACGAACACATCACCAACAAAGAGCTGCTAGTGCGCTGGGGAGACTCTGAGCCGATAAAAGACAAGATTGCACATCGGCGGTTGGAGTGGTTGGCGCATGTGGCGCGGATGCCGGACAACCGCATCCCGAAACAGGTGCTGTTTGGCTCCTTCTTGCAGCGTCGCCCGACACATGACCCACGCCGCAGGTGGAAGGACTGTGCTGTCCAGGATCTACGTGCCCGTGGTGTGGAGGCATCATGGTATGATGTTGCATGTGAGTCTCGCGTGGAGTGGCGCAGCACCTACCAAGAGCCTGACAATGCGCCTGAGCCTCCGCCCCGAGTGGTATGTACGGTATGCGGACGGGATTTTGCACGGAAAGGAGACATGGCTCGGCATAAGTGTCTGGAGGAGCGTGCGCGGCCTGTGTCTGAGCAGCGGGGCGCCAGTCAGTGCGGGCGGTGGCTTGGTCCGGCATGTGTGTGCCTCGACGGTGGATGCCACAGTGCCACCTGGAGCTACCGGAGCGTCGGCACCGGCGGAGGGATGTTGTGCCGCACATTGTGACAGGTGTAGTCGCTGCTTTCGCGGTGTCGGGGACGGGGCAGGAATCGCTGTTCAAGGGTGGCCCATAGACCAACAACAGAGGAGCGCTCAACCTTCCAGCACGTGTACATATGCGGCAAGCGGATGCGACTACCTGTGCACCTGGAGCGTCATCGGGCGCCGTGCCCTCTCTCTCTCTCTCTCTCTCTCTCTCTCTCTCTCTTCTCAAGTTTCCCAGTGATGGGATCACGTGACCCTTTTGCGGCAGTGACTCTACAGGACAGGACAGGTGTGTGTGTGTGTGTGTGTGTGTGTGTGTGTGTGTGGCGTAGCCAGAGTCGACCCTGGAGCACCCTCGCACACTGCCAAGGTAGTGCTTTATGATTGGAACGCGGAATCGCGATGTAGCTTGCAGGACAATTGATTTCGATATTGTCACTGCTGCAGGCAGGCACAGTGGGTTGGTCTAAGACCATGATTGAGAAACGAGAGGTACCAGGTTCAAGTCCTGCTTAGAAGCGGAAGGATTTTTCCAACCGTGCTGCGACCCACAGTTAATTGGGAACTCGTGGCCTGGCATGAGTAAAACATGGATGTGGCAAATGGGATTTAGGCCTTTGGCCTCTGGTTGGTGGATCTGATCTATCCTCCCCACCGTTTAAGAGCCGCATCTGACGCCTGATTATGGGGTGGTGGCGTCCCACGGAAGCGGTGGTTCTTGACCAGGGAGTTGTACGACTCCTTGTTCTTGACCTGCCCGGTACGCGAACCCGTCGATTTTTTTTGTCACTGCTGCGTCGGCCGTGGTCCACCACTCGCAGTGGAGTAGCTGATCCTCGAGTGCTGTGAAGAATCCAAGCTCAAAGAATGCAGTGGTGGGAATTGCGGATTGGCTGGTGGAGAGCTGGAACGACCGTTGTTTACAGTGGAGTGGACGAGCGAGTGTGGAGAGGAAGGTCGCAATGGCGGAATGGTTGGAATTGAAACTTCAATCTTTCGTCGTCATGAGTGCACTGGTCAAGCGTTGTGGAAGTCTGTCGGATATGTGAGGCCCTGCCCTGCCGCTTACATCGTCAACGTGGAAGAACTGCTAGTGGAGTCCTGGTGGGATTTCGGATGCCCACACTCCTTTTGCTTGGTGGATTCTTTCGTGGACAGTGTTTTTTCGTGACGGGAAATTTTGCAGTCTTTTTTTCTTTCCTGTTCATTTCCAGTCATTGTCACTGTAGCTGTCAGGTTGTTGTTACAGTACAGCAGTCGTCCGTTCTACTCCATTGTTTCATCTGTTTTGCCAGTTCTGCTAGCTGATTCTCTTTATTTGCCACTGCCCCTCATAGTACTATTAGTAGTAGTAGCGTGTGTGTGTGTGTGTGTGTGTGTGTGTGTGCGCGCGCGCGCTCGTGTGTGTGTGTGCGTGTGTGTGTGTGTGTGTGTGTGTGGGCAGGCAGCTCGCCGAACAGCAATTGCTTCGGTGCGCGCGAGTCGTCCATCCTGCCGACGTGACCCAGCCAACGAAGCCGGTGGCGACGGATGATGCTGGTGATGTCAGGGTTAACACCGAATGTAGCCGCTAATGTGGCCGTTGAGATCCGATCATCCCACTGTTGACGACGGCCGATACCCACGACGGACCGAACACACTGATGGTGAAACGTGTTTAGCTTCTGGAGGTGGCCTGCCTTGGTGGTCCACGTCTCCGCACCATACAAGAGGGTCGTGAGGACGACAGCCTCATAGACACGCCTCTTGCTGCGAAGCGACAGGGTCTTGTTATCAAAGACAGGAGCTTTGAGGGCTCCGAACACAGCTGAGGCTTTCGCAAGGCGAGAGCGGACATCAGCACAGGCAAGACCATCCGAGGAGAGCACACTGCCAAGGTAGGTGAATTGGTCCACCACCTCAATCGTGTCTGCTCCAACAACAACGTCACGGCGATCAGCAGACTCACCCACAGCCATACCCTTGGTCTTTCTCACACTGACTGTTAGGCCCCAGCTGCTTGCACATGAGATGAAGCTGGAAGTCATCGCTTCGAAGGCAGGCCGAGATGTTGCGTAGAGCGCAGCGTCGTCAGCAAACTGGGATTCTGTGACCGTTGATGACAGGAGCTTCCCCTTCGCCGTTCGGTCACCAACTAGCTTCCTCCCGACTTTATATCGAAAGGATATGCCAGCGTCCGGACAACTGGACCTCCAACTGGCAACGACGGCAGAGAAGTACAAATTGAAGAGCATTGGTGCGAGAGTGCAGCCCTGACGCAATCCATTCCGCACAGTTATCGGGTCAGTCAGCTTGCCATCCACCCGAACAGAGAGAGAGAGCTGCCTGCCCCCCGTCCTCGTCACGGCCCGAAGACGAGGTGGCGAGATGTGGTGTCGACTGACCTGGCGGACCTCGGCGTGACCACCTGGCTTGAGAGTTGCCAAGATCGTCCCGGCTGGAGACGAGTTGCGAGTAGCACTCCACCGCCACGGCCCGCTCCTGATCCTCTTCTATGTGTCTGTGGACGCCCGTTTCGTCGACCAGGAGACCTGAAACGACATGCCAAGTTCTGCGCTCGTGTTCTCACTTGAACTTTCCGACATTCGCTATCATTGCGTACGCAATGGGCAAGATCAAGGTCAAGGTCTAGGTGTGTGTGTGTGTGCGTGTGTGTGTGTGCGCGTGTGTGTGCGTGTGTGTGTGTGCGCGCATGTGTGTGTGTGTGTGCGTGTGTGTGTGTGTGTGTGTGTGTGTGCGCGCGCGCGTGTGTGTGTGTGTGTGTGTGTGTGTGTGTGTGTGTGTGTGTGTGTGTGTGTGTGTGTGTGTGTGTGTGTGAGTGTGTGTGTGAGCGTGCATGAGCGCATACATGCACATGCACACACACACACACACACACAGCCACTTGACCGCACCTACAATGTAAAGCAACACAACGAACAAAGCTGTCTGTGTTTCTTTTACCTTGCTACGCAAAACTGGTCCTCGCAGTATTCCTTATCTCCACCAGTGTGCGGACATCTGATTGTGTTCCAGTGATTATAAGCTGGTCTGACACACTTGCTGGCATCCGTTGCTCCAGCAGGTACTGCACCACCTGCCACCAACTTCGGGTTTAGCCGTAAGCTTGCCATTGCCGACTAGTAGCCACGGTTGTGAGCGCAACAGTCAACTCGGGTCACGCCTATTCTGGACTGTAGTCGTCGATCGAGTGATCGCCGCCGGCGGTGCGCCCTGTCGATGGTCAATGGCTACCGACCCGGACTGACGGCACTACTACTACTAGTAAAATTTGACTAATGGCGTTACGGAGCACAGCCACTCGGCGATGTGTGTGGGACGGTCGTCGGTCAAGTCTGAATGACGGTGGGCCGAGTAACCGTCTGCATGCAAACGTTCGCTGCATCAACGATACGACCGGTAGCCTCAGCGTGGCTTGGACTCCGCTGTCTCTTCGCCGGCAGCACCGCAACAATTGTTGCAATCCCCTCCTTGAACCTTGCCGCTCAAAATAATTATGTGGACGAGAAATCGCCGTGCAATCAATCGTCTTGCAAGTCACTGCCGCCGACTGGTACCATCTCTACTGTAGTACTGGCGTCCTCAGGATACTTTTGATCAGTAATACGCTATACAGACAGTAGTCTGAAAGTACCCTTAGGCAAGAGCCAGAAATATTTAATCGGCACGAGGACTCTTTATCGCTGCCGCTCTTGGTTCTGAATTTCTCCCAAACTGTTGCCTGCTCGGATACATAGCTGTTTGCGCCTGGCCTGGGTCGCTACTGCGTTTTTACAAGTCTACATGGCCGGCTGTAGCAGCAGCATCTCGCCTCTGTGGTCGCTCTAGTCTCTGTAGTAGTGGAGCTGGCAGCTCTTCCACTCAGTAGATCTACCTCCCGTCGGATGGCTGTGTGGTCGTCGCTGTGTGCAAACTGTGCAGTGCTAGCGCCTTCAGTGCCACTGCCAGTCTCTGTAGCGAGCGTGATACCCCAGTGCCAGTGGTGCGTCACTCCCCGTCAGCTCCCTGTCACAGTGTGCGCGGGGTACTACGGGTACGGGTAGCGACAGTCCTTGTGTTACAAAAATAATACTAGTTTTGGGGATCGCTAGGAAGCCATGCAGCGCTCGTTGGCGTCCGCTGCTAGCACGCTAGACATCCGGAGATGAAGCATGCATCGTGCACAGCATGCTAGCACTAGCGAGCCAGGATTTGTGTGCCAAGGACAAGGTTCAAGCAAGCTGCCAAGGCATAATTTTATGATTGTCTGGAACATGACTGTTGTGTCGAAGTCGAGTTGATTCCTGCCATGCGTCCTGACGAATCACTGGTCTATGCGCAGACATGAATGTCACATATTATCCGATTTGTACTAGTAGTGCATGACAGCAGTCAGACGGCAGGTCAGCTCCGACACGTCGTGTGAAAAAGGCTGTAGCCTGTAGGCTTGTGTTAGTTGTAGCTCTGGAGGAGAATCCTGCACACGCGTGGGGAGGTACGGATCAGTTTAGAAATTAGTATGTTTTTAGGTTTGAGCAGGCAGTTGTAACAAGAATGTTGGAACTACATGTACCTTGGTGTCTACGGCATTGCGAACTTTCTTGTACAAAGTAATAATTATTAGTTCACGTATTTGCAGCTGGTCTTTGATGTAGGAGTAATTGGACAATTGACGTTAGGCTTGCCTCCCACACAGACTGACCCAAGTAGGTGTGGAGGATATTTCTGTGGCTGATGCGGATTTATTGGATTTGTTTTCCGAGTTGTGATCGCTCAGTGTAGTACAGTTGGTAGGCATAAATCCATAATGAGAGGCAATCACCTAGACTGCTACAGCTCAGTCCAGTCCAGAACAGTGGCTTGTGGTGCTGCTACAATCATGTGAGGTCAGTCTCACACTGATGCACAGACCACACACAACAGGTGACTGAGTGCTGCATTTCCAGGGAATCCGGACATGCATGCTTCCTTCCTGGCAGCGCTAGTGCACTAGCTAGCACTGCATGGAGTGCATGGAAGAGCCGCCGCATGACGTCGCGTGCGCGTGCGGCGTAGCTCCCTGCGCAGCTGCATGCTCAGCACATCACGTGCAGGTCGCTGTTTATCCTTGCTCCTTGTGCTTGCTGCTGTGCGCATGCGGCTCACTGCCACTGGTGCAGTCATCCATGGTCATGTACAGAACAAAATGGTGCGACCGCCCCACGGTACAAGCAAAAGCAGTCGTTAAAGCCAGGTGGTCTCTAAAGCCAGGTCTCATACATTCATGCCACATCGATTGTGTACATACAAGTGCATGATTGCACATGTACTTCCATTGTACTCCTATTGAGAGGTACGGGACATAGAATACATGCAGCGCATACTGCACTGTCACTAGTCACTTTTGTTGACTGCATGCACTTGCTTCAGAGCGCAATTCAACCATTTTTTTGTTTTTCAATCAACCCTGCTAGCCTAGATGGCACTTTTGGCTAGTTTTGGTCGCTGTGTGCAAGTCCAATATGGCACTTGGTACACTCAAAGTCGGTCGCTGGTCGCGCAAGGCAGGTGGTCGCTATATCCGGTGCAGTTTCTGTGTAGAACTGTCCGTGCATGGAAAACAGTCGCTGAAAGCAGGTGGTCGCTCACGCCAGGTTTTCCTGTACATGTATGTACAATGTAATGTTACGTACGTGTAGACCCGGGTGCTCGAATGAGACACAGGGTACCAAAACAGAAACACCCTGAAATTGTACCTAAACATGTTCCGATTTCGTTTATTTTTCACAAATACCATCAACATACGGCCTGCTAACGGTATGCCAAATTTCAGCGCTGCCCGGTAAACACTTTTTGAAATACTCGCGACCCACTTTTTGCTGGGTCCTTGATTCGAGGATATGGGTCTCCTGTACGGTGCTGCCAAAGACCTGCTGAATCTGCGGCTCCACTGACCATCTTGCTCTCAAAAATGAAGTAGTAAGTTACTACTCCCTGCCCTCAACTGCCACACCAAGCATAGACGATGGCAGACCCGTGTGCTTGAATCGGAGACGATCTGACGAGTTCGCTGTTTCTGATTCGAGCACCCAATTTTCAAATAAAAAATCCGAAGGAAATACGACAATTTTACTGCGTACTGTAGCTTGTGTTGTAGCGCACCCAGGTTCTGAATTCCTGCTGGGTGGGTCAAGCCAGACTCTCTTCCCTGTTCCATCGCCTCTCCAAAACTGGCAAAAGTATATTCTGACATTGTTGAGATTTACAGATGAGAAATTGCACACCTGTCAAATCGTTTCTGATTCGAGCACCCGGGTCTACGTGTTGGATGCGCTTTGCCACCTGTGCTGCCAACGGTGACCTCATGCTCCTGTTTGTGTCTGTACATGACCTGATGACTTAAACTTGGATCCTAGATTATTGTTAGCATGTTAGTAACTGGTGTTTGTCCGCAAGCACAGGTACAAGCGGAGCTCAGTTATGCTAGCACAGTCAACTCAGACTCAGTATCTGTGCACAGTATCGCACTGATGGACAAGGCCCAATGATGATCTGTGGGTGTGTATGTGTGTACGTGTGTGTGTGTGTGATACGCTATCGTTGCTATAAAGAGAAAATCTGTGGGTGCACATCCAGTGCATTTGCAAATTTGCGTGCTTCTCTTGCGACGGGCGTATACATGGTACATGGTGTGTGTGTGTGTACATGTGTGTGTGCGTGTGTGTGTGCGTGCGGCCGTGCGTGTGTGTGTATGTGTGTGTGCATGCATGCATGTTGTGTGCGTGTGTATATGTGTATTCTCTGTTGTGATCTAAGCATAACCCCGGTCACGTGCAGAGGTAGAGGCAGTGCACATATTATTAATAATTATTAGTTGAAACTACTTCTTGTGCCATTATGAGAAGTTCACCTGCCCTACGCCCAGCGCAACGACACAATGGTTCTCTAACCCCTCCCAGTTCCAGCCAAACCGTACAGTCAGAAATGAGTACAGACCGCCTTCCACATCACCTGGGACAAATCACAAGATGCTCAGTTACTGTGATTATTTGGCTTGTGATTACTAATAATTATTACTACTGACTGATTACTGACTGGTTACATACTGGTTACTCGTCATCGTGCCTGTATTCTGGGCGCCTACTCACCTACTTCAGTACATGTATACCCAATGCCATCTAGCATGCATTGTCGGCATCTTCATGTATATGAACCGTTTTTCACCAGTCATACGACCCCCCCCCCCCCCCCTTACACACACTTGGGGCCTCGACTTCCCGATTCAATGATGGTTAAACACCGGTTGTACGTCGACTGCCCCGTTCTATTCGGTTTCAGTGCGGGGTCTCAAAAGGTTGGTTCACATGTAGATTGTACAACCACCCGAACCAGTAGAAAACGGTATGTTCACATGCAGTCATTCACCGTGCAGGCATGCATTATCAGTGTCCACAAGTCCAGATGTTTGCTGGTTGACTGTCTAGACATGTAAGTGTGAGGTGTAGTATAGTGTGGCGTGCCAAAGTCTCAGCGTGAATCAGTCATGCACACTTTACATTTTTCAGAGCATTCGTCTTCGGTCTAGGGATTGAGTTGAACCTTTTACACAACCTTGTTACATCTGCCTTGAGTTTCTTTGGATTAGACTATTTAAAATTTTCATTTTGATTCCATCGCCGAGTTTCATCGCTTGTATCTTTGGTGTTCTTCCTCCGTTCCATGTAGTATTGTTTGAATAAACCCGTTTTGAGTATGGTATGGTAGGGTGATGACGGACTGCAATCCTGCACTCAGTTCAGTCCATGATCGTGTGAGCGTGCACGGGTCGATAGTGATCACGTGACTGTTTCCTTGAGCTGGGGACGACGGCCTTACATGTACTTCACGCTACTACTAGTAGTACCGCCTCTTTGTAAACTGGCACATTCGCAGATCCTTACGGTGAATTCCTTGGGCATAGCCCGTGGGGACTTGGGGACTGGGTATGAGGTAGCGCTTGGTGGATACTGCGGGCAGAAGATAGGCAAAATGGGGTACAATTTGAACTTCAATCATGAGGGGAGGTAGAGAGGGAGGGAGGGAGGGAGGGAGGGAGGGAAGGAGGGAGAGAGAGAGAGAGAGAGAGAGAGAGAGAGAGAGAGAGAGAGAGAGAGAGAGAGAGAGAGAGAGAGAGAGAGAGAGAGAGAGAGAGAGAGAGAGAGAGAGGGGGGGGAGAGAAACAGACAGAGAGAGATACGTAGAGTAGAACCCGGGTTAGGGATCCACCTAACTCTGCGCGGACATAGCTGGACTCAGTTGTACGGGGATGGGCAAAAAGGTGTGCCAAACGACTTTTTGTGAGTAGATGGACACCGGAAAAATAGTTTGGAGCGAAAAAGGTTGCGGCTTCCTCGGAAACCAACGGGGGACCCCCTTGGGCCGGATATTAAATCCCGGTATATGGATCACCCGCACAATGACATGCCAAGTGCCCCCCCCCCCCCGGGCTCCGAAGGATCACCCGCACAATGTACGTGCCAAGTGCCCCCCTCCCCCGGGATCCGATCCCTAATCCGGTGTGACCCTTAACCCGGGTTCTACTCTACATGTACGTTGGACTTCACTTAGTACGCACCCTGCCAAGACATACATTTAAAGTACATTTCCTTAGTTGGGGCTCTATATTGAACAATGCTAGGGTAAGAAGCATCACGGATAGTACATGTAATCACACTCTCCTGCTGCCCATGTGGGTATGTCTTATTACAGTTCTACTGTATAAGGAGCGGTTTTCCAGCCGTGCTGCTACCCACAGTCAACAGGGAACTTGCGGCCAGGCACAAGGGGTACATGGATGCAGCTAATGGGGTCGTTTTCGGCACTTGTGCCAGTGGTTGTGAGACTTATCCACTCACCCCCACCATTAGACGCTAGGGTTTATCGGGTGTTAGCGGCCGTCGTGAG